GGCCAAGACAGATCCTGGCCTTCAGAACACATGTGTGAGGCTACCAAGATTGGCTGGCTGGCTGGCTTGCTTTTCTTTCATTCCTTCGTTCATTCCTTTGTTCCTTCGTTCCTTCGTTCTCAGTACTGGGGATGAACTCTGGACCTTGTAAGTAAATAAATTAAATAAATAAAATACTATAGTTGAGGGCATATGCAGAGACCCACAGGGCGCATGAGGAGGGGGATGCAGGTGCCAGACCTGCAGGGGCTGCGGGGCCAGTGGAGGTTGTTTGGTGTGTTCTGGGTGCAGACTGGTATCCTGGTCATGCCCTAGGTCTTTTTATTCCATGGGCAACCTGGTGCCAGCTGTGCCACCCTAATGCCAGGCTCAGACTGGGGGAGAATGGTGTGTAGTCAAACAGGCAGGGGCTCAGGGCCCAGGGTGGTTTGAAGGGTGTGGAGGTGAATCACAGCTGAGGGTATCTGGGGTAGAGCCTGGGGCAGAGGAGAGGGACTGGGGCTTGCAGGTGGGAAGGGTCCAGGAGGGAAGATGACAGAACTGGGTGACCTTGGCCTGTAGTTTCCATGTGCTCTGTTGACATTTTGTTCGTGGACCTAATGACAGCACCCACCTCTCTGAACTATGAGAAGTAAGTCCATGCAAAGCATTTAGCACTGTACCGGGAACCAAATTACGAGCACAGTAAAGGGTGGCAGCTGCCATTGTCCTTGTTATGGTAGTGGTGCCATGGTGAGAGAGGAGAGCAGAGGGGTGGTGGGCAGATGGAGGGGCTTAGAGGAGAACCTTCTGGCGCCTGCAGCCGTACATGGCCCCTCACGCTTGCCTCTGTGCCTGTTGGCACGCAGGACAAGGACGCAGACCACAAATCTCTCTGCACCCCACAGCAGCATTTGTGTCCCAGACTACAGGAGCAATTCTTTCCACAATGGAAAAACCAAAAACCACGATACCCAGCTGAGTGTGGTGATGAATGCCTGTAAACTCAGCACTCTAGGAGCCTGAGGCAGGAGGGTTGCAAATTTGAGCTCATCCTGAAGAATTTAGCAAGACTGTCTCAAACTCCCCCCCCCCCCCCCCCGCGGACCCAGGGATTGAACTCGGGCCCTTCCGCTTGCCAGGGAAGCACTTGTTCTACTGAGCCATCTTCCCAGCCCAATTTATTTATTTATTTCTTCGGGGAAGGGTCTACAGGGTGTTCAGGGTCTCACTACTATATCAGACTCATAGTGATCTGCCTGTTTACAACCTCCCAAGAGGTGTGATTACAGGGGTGCACCACCACTCCCAGTCTCAATAGCCATCTCAGTGTGCTCTGGAGGCAGAACCCCTGGCCTCTGCACCTGCTTGCAGGCACTTTTTTTTTTTTTTTTTTTTTTTTTTTTTTTTTTTTTTTTTTTTGCAGTGCCAGGGATTGAACTCAGGATCTTGCACTTGCCAGGTAAGCACTTATTCTACTGAGCTGTCTCCCCAGCCCTTTGTCTCAAACTTTTTTAAACAGAAAAAAATTGGGCCGGGGAGATGGCTCAGTGGAATAAGCGCTTCCCTGGCAAGTGCAAGGGCCTGAGAGCTCAATCCCCAGTTCCAAAACAATAAAAGAAAATAGAAGAAAAAGAAAATTAAAGGGTTGGAGATAGTCCCTAGGTCCAATCCTTAGAACTACTTTAAAAGGAAAATGCTGGTGTGGCTTAGGCCAAACCAAGTACTCTTGCCTGCCCCACTTCACTTGGGCTGTGGGGTATGCCAGCTGTGGGGTATGCCAGCTGTGGGCCCTCCCTTAAATCTCTTCCCTCCCCAAGGAACCCCATAGCATCTCTTGTTCATTTCTTGTCTTGGGATGAACCCTAATCCCTTCCCCTCCAGCTCA